CACTGCACAGCTCACTCTCAGCCTCCCAGGAGACAGCAAGATAGAGACGGTCCCCTGGCCACCGGGAGGAGGCAGCTGCCGCCCCCAGTCAGCTTTCTCCAGCCAGGCCACCTTCCCACCGGCCTCGCTCACAGTCCCGCCAGGTGCCACCTCACCCGGGGCTCGTTTTTCCGGTGGCACCGCTGGGTCCAGGCAGTGACTCAGCAGGGAAGACACGGCAGGGAGACCGAATTCTTTGTAGTTGCCACAGAGGGTCAGAGGCTTGTTGAAACCTCCAGGCTCTGTTCCAAGCGACAGCATCCAACCCAGATCTTGTTATAGAAAAGGCAGGTCCCCCAGCACCCCGGGCCCACACTCCTGGGGAGTGTCTTCCTGAAGAGCTCCACGCCCTGTGTCCTCAGCCTTGACCACGCACAGTCCCGCGTGGGGACCAGAGGCAGAGGCCTCCAGGCCTGCAGGCTGCTTGCCTCCCACAGCAGTTTTCCTCACCGAACCCAGCGTCTGAGCACATTCTTTAACCGTTGCGCTTGCTTCTTGCAGTGCAAACATCTGTACTAAAGATTCTAGCACTTTCCATCAGCCAGGGAGACAACGTCCTCTTTGCTGGCCTCTTTCTTCATCCCAGGTACCTGGGCAGCTCCAGAACGTTCCCCTCCTGCAGCCAGCTGAGTGGCCACCCAGCGAGGGGGCTGTTTGGCAAGCGTTTCCCATTATCAGTGGCTTCATCCCCTTCGATTAAGTGGGTGCTTTCTTAGGTCCCTTGTGGCTTAGGAACACACAGGTGCCCCCACTCTCCTTGGTAGGGACCCTAGCTCTGTGCAGGACCCTGGATCTGTGGGGGACCCTGGGTCTGTGGGGACCCTGGCTCTGTGGGGGACCCTGGTCTGTGGGGGACCCTGGTCTGTGGGGGACCCTGGCTCTGTGGGGGACCCTGGATCTGTGGGGGACCCTGGATCTGTGGGGGACCCTGGCTCTATGGGGGACCCTGGTCTGTGGGGGACCCTGACTCTGTGGGGGGACCCTGGCTCTGTGGGGACCCTGACTCTGTGGGTACCCTGTCTCTGTAGGGACCCTGTCTCTATGGAGAACCCTGGATCTGTGGGGGACCCTGGGTCTGTGGGGGACCCTGTCTCTATGGAGGACCTTGGGTCTGTGGGGGACCCGGGGACCCTGGGGGACCCTGGCTCTGTGCCTCCTCTTTCAGGGGCCACTCAGTGACTGGACATGACTCTCTTCCTTGCTCCCTTGCTCCTCTGGGGCTTCCCTGAGCCTGGAGCAGGTTCTCCCAGTGCTGCTGCCTCTAGCCGGGGGCCCCAGATTCTCGCTCTGACCCACCCACTGTGTCTCCAAAGCCACTGGGCAACGTCTCCACGCTGGGCTGACAGGTGGTGCTTCCAGAACACCCACCGCCCTCTCCCAGGTCCAAGAGGGGCCCTCTGTCCGCTTTCCTGAGAAAATGCGGACACACGGTCCACACACAACTCCAGGTTGTTTCCGTTGTCCCAGCTCCCCTGTGGGCGCTCCACCGAAGGGCCCCATGTGAGAACAGCTGTGGCTCTCACCTCCCAACCCCGATGTTCCTTTAGGAAACTACCACCCTCCACATTCAGGGGTGAACCCACTGGCCTCCCCAGCCTGGCCGACCAGAACATTCTCTTCCCACAAATGGTTTGGGAATGGGCACAGCCAGGCAGACAGGCAACCACACTGCATCCGTTCAGAGATGCCGTGAGTTATGAAATGCATTGTTACCTAAAGCACCTTCAAGAGCGAAAAAAATGATGCCCATTTCGATGGAAAAAAGCTATGACTCTCAGAGCTATAAAAACACGAGAAGAAAAGAGTCGAAGAATTTATGAATTATGTTTAATTTGGGGTTTCGGAAGGGGGGAAGCTCTCTTTCTGCCGGGATCCTCCAGCTGAGGCTATGTAAGCTTGGAGATGTCAAGGCCATTTCGCTAGGGGTCTGTCCATTAGTGAAACCAACACCGAGGACAGGTGACGTGTGAGCGCCTAGATCCAGCCGTTCCTGACACTGTGCATTTTTCTTTGCCACGGGGCCTAAAGCAGTGACTAGGATCACTGCGTGGGGTAGGCTGCTCATCTAGCGTCCCTCCTCAGCCCCCCTGTGCCACTGTCCCCCTGTGCCACTGCCCCCTGGCCACACGCTGGTGCACAGACACAGCAGAAGGCCTGGAGCTCTGGCACCTGAGAATGTGGGCACAGGGCCTTGGGTGATGGAGCGCTGCACCCCTGATTCACATGGTAGCTAATCAGTTAGGGAGGAGGGACAGGGAAGAGAAGAGAGGGGAGTGGAAGGAGGGCAGGAGGGGTGGAGGAAGGGCAGGATGGGGTGGAGGGAGGGCAGGATGGGGTGGAGG